TACTTAAATATTTAGGCAAATTTGATATACTAAGTAATTAAATGATTTAAAAGTATATAGAAAGTTATAATTCAAAGTGTTTAATTATTCCGAAACATTCAATCAAATATAAATTTTCCTAAAGAATCTAACCTGTCCTACAACGTCCTTCTGTAATTAATTTGCATGCGTGTATAGGAATAATGAATATTAAATCCGTGGCAGAAAAAAATAATCTGGGTCACATAGTTAATTTAAAACGGTTCTCTTATTGTTATCAGTAAATATGATTAGCATATAGAGTATTTCACTTAAAATTTAGTCTTTTTTCAAACTTAGTTTTAGGGGTTGGTATTTTTTTGGCATAAAATTTAAATATTACTGATATGCAACAGTAGATATTTCAAACTCTTTATTTCTCATTGAATGATATATCATTATTTAATTATGAAGCCTACTAGATGAAGACTGTAAACTGTTGCTCATTAACGAAAGGTAATTGAGAATTTAAAGTTCCCGAATAAATTTATAGGCGATTGGATTCTTCTCTGAATAATTTAAATATTGTTTTAGTTTAAATCTCACATACAGATCAATAGTTCAACAGAAGTATGGAGCTGAATACGTTTTATTTTATTTGAAGCCAAAATTTATAAACAGAAATGGATGGTGGTTAGTAGTGGAATTTAGGACGCGCGTTTTATTCTATTTGGTATACGCTATCTAGATGTGCTGTATCCCAGAGCTGATGTTCACTTCTAGACTAGAATCCAGTACTGGTCACTCTAAACGCCATCAAATTGTCCACTTAACTCTTGAGTTTAGGCATCCACTGGCTAGTGCGATGATGTAAAGTTTAGTTCATTTGTGTTAGTTGTATGAATCTTCCCTAAACTAACAACTGATACAAATACATTATGTCTTAAGTTAGTTGACGTTTGTTTTACATTGATTGCTAGTTAGATTTTGTATACATTTTAACTGGATACCATACTCCACTAAATAATCAGTAACTTACTGCATAGGGACATTTTTTCCAATGATGTCAAATTAAAAACGTCACAATCAAGAAATTTATCTATTCAGTAAAGTTCAATAAACTTTGTAGTTCTTGTTTCCGTTCAATTAATGAGTCCAACCGAATGTATAAACCAATCAAAGCTTGTTGGTAAACTATAAACTCTGTTAGTGTACACAATTTTACAATATCAGTTGAATATAATTACATAAAAGTAACAATCTTTGTAAACAATTTTCCTACCAACCTTTTCCTGTTAATGATGATGTATACAAAAGCAAATTCATTGATAATATGATAATGATAATTTGTACAAATTAATTGCATTTTAGTAATCATTAATTTTCAATCTTAAATCATTGTGTTTAGATTTATTTCCAGCCGAAATTTCTATGGTAACATAAGAAAAAGGAGATTGTTTTTTTTACATTATTATTCTTATTTTTTTTTGGATCCTACTAATCATTATTTTTCTATTATCCTGACTTACTTACTTACAGATCAGTTGAATTGTTTACAGACCTATAATTTTTGTCTATAACCATTTTGTTATTATATAAATTAACTTTAACTATATTCAAGAAATATTTAGGCAGACTCATGCTTAAAGTATTGTCGACAGGAAATATAATACTCTGATGATATAATCTTATATTAACCATAAAAGTGTACTAGTGTACTAGTGACTGAAATATATTTTTTTATAACTTACTAAAAAATAATATTATTTTTTACAGAAGAAATTTGTTACTCTATTCCTGTGTTTTTATTTTCTGTCTGACAGATGGAATACGCCCTTTTCATTGATATCCTAAAAGTCAATAAGACAATTATTATTATTACTATTAACTGTACCATGAATACTACTTGTAATAGTAATATATGAATATAGAACTTAATATTGACAGTTGGTCGGAGAATTAATGGTTTCTAGTTATATGGCTTCTACAAGACAACTAGTTTACTTGTATAAATGATGAATAAGTCTTGACACAGTCCTATCAATATATACATGATAAATTTATCTTTTGTATAATGAGTTCCTGAAATATTTTCACTGATATACATTAAATATTTCAAGTCACAAATAAAAAGGATTTGCCAAATATTTTGCGCCATAGCTATTAAGCTAACTGTATCTTTTTAATATAGCTTAAAGAATTATTAAGAATAATCTTTTTTTAATCAAAACCATGAGCGTTTATCGGGATATTGACTAAGGTTCTGTCTGACATATTCAATATAACTCAATATGATAATAACTTTATTATTATTCAAAGTAAGGTCTAGTTTATTCTGTAAAATAAGTTTATAGATTGTCCTAGTGTAGTGAACAAGAACACAAGTGGGGGCGATAGAATGTTTTTGGACACAAAATTACAGGATTTCTTAGCATAATCTGAGAACCACACAGTAAATACTTCATTTGCAAAATGTTAATCAATTGTCTCAAATGTAACTGCTTCTTTTGCAAATATCAGTCCATCGTCTCAGACTTCATTGTTCTGATGTTTCTACACCAATTATTCGTTGTTCTCGTTCACTTTTATTTGATATTCTTAACCTTCTGCTGCCAGACATTTCACTTTCCATATATACTACGTCTATCTGTCGACACCAGTAGCATACACCATACTTGTCCCTTTTATTAAAGCAATCGCTCTTGCGGTGGTCCTGCTCGCCGTGCAACTTTCTTTTCTGCAGTCTATGCTTTACTCTCCGTCGAAATGTCTAGTCTGCGTCACGTTAACATTCATAGTTCCGTCGACCAGCTGAGCCACCAAAATTCGATACCAACCCGGCACCTGGGATATTCAGCAGCCTGCTGAGCCATTTACGTCCAATAACCACACGTCCCACCAATCCTCTCCGTCAAGATGTTTTGTAATTTTATGTTCACATACATTCGATTGTCCCCACTTGTGTTCCCGTTCACTACACTAGTTTTAAATTACTAGTTACAAATATAAATCGTATAGAACATTATAATAAACATAAATTTTAATATTTTTAAAGTCTATAAAGTTCTACATTAAAAAGATAACCACATAAGGTAGTTAATGCTATACTGACATAAGTATAAATTTGTAATTTACTGGAATTTTAAAAAAACTGCATCAAGATTCATGTGTGTGATGACCTGTAGATTTCATTTAACATGTTACTAGACGTGTATATAAGTGGTATATTGGGTAAATAAATTGTTTAGATTTTTGATAACGTTTTGTATTCATATAAGAAAATTGTACCCGTCTTTAATTGTCCAGTTACTTGTAGTAACAGAATAAAACTGACAAATATAGTATTCCTTAACTTTGATACATTGGGGTGGATGGAGATCGGACTAACCAAGCACTTTGAGATTAAACTTTCATGTTGTGCGTTGTCCGATATTGAAACTGGTAAACGTGCTTCCTATTCGCAAGCATAATTGGAGACTCAAATGAAAAGAATGGGATCTTGTAGAGACCGAAATCACATTTTCCACCGATTGGGTATGCCTTATTCCTCGGCAAAGGCAACCAAATTTCGGCCAACAGCGTGTGTCACACTAAGTCGATATCCGGTATCAGTAATAATTGCTGATAAAGTCTGGTCACAGCAATTTGTTTGTCTTTATTGCTTGAGAAAATGCTCACTACCTTTAAGAAAGAAGAATAGAATATCAGTTATAATTATGAACAGAATTTATATTTTAAAATATATGGTTAACTTTATATAATTATTAATAACAACTGGTATTTGTAATTCGTCCAGTTACACATAGTGAGTATCGTACCATAAGCTACTCATGCAAATTTTAAAGCTATCTATCCTTCAGAGACTATTATCTATTGGAGAAGACCCTAGTAACCGAAACGTTTTAGACTGTTCTATAATTTTGAGGTCACTAGCTATGGGATGAAATAAATCGAAAAAAAAACAAGTAAAGAAGAGAAACAATATAGTAATTTAAGTAAGATATTTGATGCGGATAATGATGTATCACAAATTAACTGGAACTATAAATCTCAATCGTTGATGTTAAGGCACTATGCTCAACACGATATTTAGTTATTGTAGTTTCGATCATTTATAAAATCCATTTCTCTTACAATGAATCAGTTATAGATTCAAGTGAGACTGATATTCTACAGTTCTCAGGCTAATATTATTTCGTGACAAAATAACCTCAAATTATATAAAATTATTTGTTTTTACTCGTAAAAACAAAAATAGTTAGAACCTTTAGATTTAGTTTTAGTTCTGTTAGGTTTATTGAAGTTGTTCATGAAATAATCTAATTAAAGCTACTCAATATCTTTGAATTAAATAAAAAAACGAATATTGAAGGTCAAGTCAAATAAATGTATATGATGTACCATTTAAATCAGATTCCTAATTTCATTTATTTCATACAGTCTATGCTTACTTACTTACTTAAGCCTGTTACTCACAATGGAGCATAGGCCATCGAAAACCATTCTCCAACACACTCTGTCTTTTCTACTTCTATACAATTAATGTTCATTCTTCTCATGTCTGTCTCCCTTTCTCGGCGTAATGTATTCGTTGGTCTTCCTCTTCTCCTTTGACCTTCTGGGTTCCGATTGAGGGCTCTCCTTGTGATGCAGTTGTGTGATTTCCTCAATGTGTGTTCTATCCACTTCCAGCACTTCTTCCTGATTTCTTCCTCCGTTGGAATCTGGTTTGTTCTCTTTCATAGTAGGTTGTTACTGATAGTGTCTGGTCTGACCAACGGATCCGAAGTATTTAGCGTAGATATCTGTTAATAAACACTTGTATCTTGTGAATGATGGCTTTTGTAGTTCTTCAGGTTTCTGCCTCATACAGTAGAACCGTCTTGACATTTGTATTGAAAATTCTGACTTTGATGTTGATTAATGGACAGTTATTTTGAGTTTCATATATTCTTCAATTGTAGACATGCTACTTTACAGTCTATACTACTATTTATTTCTTTATTCTAATATGTTTCTTTTTTTCTCTTTTTCTATTCTAGAAAGCTAAAAATTATCTACATGAATTATTTCATCCACCATTTAGTTGGTTACAAAAAATGATGAGAACTATAATTTGTAAAAATCAATTTAAATCTTCACCAGTATCTATGAATGATAATACAGATAATAAATATATAAATTATCCAAATATTTTCTTTCAAAATATTCATCAAGGATCAGAATTTGATTTAATGCATAATAATCCAATATCAACTATCAATTCAAATACAATAAATAATATCTCACATCAAACTACTACACTTAATAATCAAATAGATATCTTATCATGTAGAACAACTGCATTAGTTGAATCGAATAATTTCAATGATAATAATCCATCAACTCATTATTATGATTCAAAACAATTATATGAACAATTAACTAAAAAAAACATTCTATCTAATCAAACAATGAAATATAAACATTATAGTACACTTCCTTTAGTAACCAATAGTTTAAATAATACATTCAATTCTAGTGGTTATATATTCACTTCACCTAAATGTATATCAACAGTAGAAACGTTACCAATATTTAATCAATCGAATTTATATCATTTACAAAATGATTCAACAAAATATTTTACATATGATGGACAACATCGTAAATTCTATTTAATGGCACGTTATTTACGTTCAGCACAAAGACAACGTAGACATAAACGACGTGTACAAAAACGTCTTCAAGAACAAGAACGCTCTGAAAAGAAAAGACTTGAAAATGAAAAACTATATGGTACATTATTTAGTCATCAGAGTAATCAAATCATTGATGATAAGAGACAAAATATACATAAAATAAAATCTTTAACTAACATCTCTGATGATAAAGCTTCAACTGGTTCAACCATACTCAGTGGGTCTGGTATGGAAGATTTTAGTGATGGAAGAATACGTTTATTATGCTGGAAAGATATTGATATTGATTTAGAAGTACGATCAATAGATGAAAATTACGATGATATACATGGCCTAAAGAATATTGAAAATACAAAGGACTGGAGCACAAAAGCAACAGTTGATGGTGCAACTGTGATAGTAAATATGAATGTCTCGGAGCCGATATCTCATATGAATAAAAAACGCTCGATAAAATGTTCTATGAGTAAAATAAGATGTAATCACAATTGTTGCAAGACTCATAATTCAAAATCATATATCAGTCTTCAACAGTCTACTCAAAATAACCTATCCTTAGTGCATACTATGACTGAACCAAAAAATGAAACACCAAAGTACTGTACAATGCACAATACAATCTTAAGTTCATATCCACAAACACCATTTGAAGTGGCATGCCCATCATCTAAACCTTTTCACAAATTATTAACACATTCGATTTCTACATCAGATAAAGAAAAGCTTTATGATGTGAAACCATTATCAAACTCAATTAGACCCAATCCTGCAGCTATACACATGTCGTATCATCAAATACCTATGAATAAACTCAATGTTTCAAAATCAGGTTTATCAAGCCTACCAATACACAATTCACTCCAACAAAAACAAACTTCACAGATTCCGACTACTTCTGCAAGTAGAGCTAACATACCACCTAAACTGAATCAAAATTTAAGCTTTTTTCCAACAGTCACTTTACCCAATTCCTTTCATTACTCACAACCTAATCAGTGTTCTACGATGTCTTTCCTTCCTGAATCCCATAGTTTACAACCTGATTCTTTTCAAAGGCTCTTACAATCCACAGTAATTTCCAATCCATTTGCAACATGTGAAGATGTTTCACGCGATATAAAACCTGAACAACTGGGTAGATCGCGTCTTTCATTAGCGTCATCACGTGGCGATTTAGACAGCGAAATAGTTGTACAGTTAAGTTATTACTCCCAACGTGGTAGTAAACAATCAGAAGATTTATCATTTTTTTCTTATCGTGATGGCTTTTCTGCAGAAGAGGATGTATCCAAAGTGACTGTACCAATAAGTTTATCACTAGTCATTATGACAACTTACATACTTATTGGAGCTATTGTATTTTCTATATGGCAAGATCCAGATTATCTAAAATGGTCATATTTTTGTTTTATTACATTATCAACAATTGGGTTTGGAGATATAGTTCCAGGCAAGTTTGATTAAACAGTAATTTTTTTATCTTGATAGACCGTACTGAATGTATACTTGTCATTTCATTCTTAAGATAACTTCATTATGGTCAACTGTAACTATTTTTTTAATGAGCTGACCTATCTAATACATACAGATTGTTGAATGTAGTTCACCAATTAACAATTAATTACTGGAACGCTTCATTCCTTTCTATGATTCATTATAACCAAACACATTAAAAATATTAAGAGATCATCATCGAGGTAAATTTATCGTTTTCTCTCTTTAGCACCCCTCAAGTGCCTTACTTTAAATAAATGAATTAAAATCAGTGCTTTGCTTTTCCCAGTGGGCTGTAAGTTTTATATATTATGACTTGTTTAGAGACATTTTTGTGAATACTATTGTTACAAACAAATAGGTTTAGCACAATTATGAGGCAATGCAATGAACCACAGTTTATTTTTTTTACGAATCACCTAAAGAAAAACAATATAATCAGTATATTTTTCTTAAATACACGTAGATTATTTACTGACCTATATGTTATGAGCACAAACATGTTGTTTTTCGTCCCGTTTGATAGTTTAGCGTACATTATATGAATGTTGCAATGAAAAACTACAACAAGATAGCTACTATAGTGAATTCTGAGCAATCTCTGTTAGTGTTTCTTTTCACTAAGTTGAATGTTGAATGAGGGTGGCAAATTACTGTGCGGTTATCTAGCACATTTGTCTTTTACTTTATATAGCTATTTCATAAACTGATTATCAATCTTTTTTGTTCTTATAAGTTCCAGCACGGTATTTGGAGGTGTTGATATGACACAAAACTATATACACCTATTATTGAAAGGAATATAGAATTTAGTTATCTAATAAGTGCCTACTTATTTTACTGAAGAAAATAATTTTAAATTTTTATTATCCATTTTCTTTATCGAATTTTCACATTTCCTTCTAACTCTCGGTTACGTCATTTTGCCGACTTTGAAAATGTTGAAAAAGAAAAACGGTCAAAGAAGAATGAGAACAAAATAAAGAATTAAATTAAAATATGAAATGATTTCATTATTTATTATGGTCATAAAACTGGTACACTTATACACTTGTAACTGTTTCCATATTTGAAATAACTTGGAGTACTTCAATAAAGGGATTTCTTCTTGGCTATAAGAACAATGAAATGTGTATATGATATGTGATCGCTCTTTACATCATCATTAACCTACATCTATTTCCTAAGAACATTTTAGGTAGTTTTTTTCAAAAAGTGAAGTATTATGTTTGTTTAAATAAATGAAATTCAGATACAAACCCACGTTGGCAATATTAGGTTACTATCCAGTGATTAGGTTTCAAAATGTTTTCCCAATATTTCTTCATTATCCCTGTCTCCTCTTACCCTTCATTTCTGGTCTAGTTGACTTATTATTTTTATATATAAATATTCTTAACAAGTATATGTGTGATCAGATTGTTCGAAATGTATTACGCTAATATATCACATAGTCCTGGTAATCTTCGTCTTCTTACTACACTGTCGAAATTTATCAAACGAACTAATTGCTTTAAACTTCAGATTATGAAATTACTCCGAAAAAATTACATCATCTAACATCAAATGATACTTAGACAAATCAAATTAGTGACTCCATTTCTACCCATAACTCTGTTGTGCAGAATTTCAACTTATAAATAAACTGTCCCTTTTCTTATGCGTAACTTAGTGAGAAACATTATGTATTTTGCAATAAACCAATATGAACAAAAGTATACTGAGCTTACTACAAATATCACCAGTGACAACGTATAGTGGCCGATCAATATAGCATAGTGACTAAAAGCAGAAATGTATACTATTGGATGAAGACTCAGTCGTCTGAAGGTTAAGCGCTCACTATGTGAACTTATGTTTTTGGCTTTAATCACTAGTGTAGTCATGGATGTGCACTCCTGTTTATTCACTCAAACAAATAACTATCTTATAATAAGGTAACTTTAAACCACTGTTAACTCAGTGTTAATATCTCTTATAAGAATAAGTAATTATAAAGATTATTCACAAATAATCGCCAAAGTTATAACTAAAAATAAAACATTCTACATAAACCCTAAAATTTATAGCTGAAAACAGACTTACGTTACGTTCACAACTATCTTCTTCATAAGTATCTTTTTTTCTGAAAAATGTTAATCAAGATCAAGTGACTCAACCAAAAACGGATTATTATTTAATTTTCATATAAAATGCCTTGACAAATATATGTGTGACCAGATCATTCAAAATGTATAGCGCAAATACATCACAGTTTTTCAGATCAACTCCGTCTTCCCATTGTTCTATCGAAATTTATAAAAGGCGCTAATTAATTTAAATATTCATAGTTAATAAATTTTTCATCTTTACAAACGTTTTTAAAGTTTTTAAGTTAGCTTATTTCTGATTACATAAATTTCAAGTAAATTTAATCACTTGCCATGCTTGTTTTCTGTAGATGAGAACATTAAATCATCATAAAAATATCTTCAATGAAAGTCGTGAACCACTGGATTATGTCCCAGTGGGAATAATATCTAAAGACGTCATGTTAGGTTGCTGAAACACACTTCTGAAAGGTCAGCGAATTAAGAGATCTAAAACATAGTAATAACACTGGCAACTGGTTGCAGATGCAAAATGAAGAAGACTATTGATATACTAGTACTAACTAAATGAGAAGTTGATGATGGACAGAGAAGTAACCAAACTTAAAGGAAACGAACAAACAGAATTTTTACCTACTAATAAAAACCATCATTCATCATCTAAAAGACCCATTCGCATATCTTGAAGTATATATTGAGCAGTTCACTTTTAGTACGTACGTAAAATGTACGTAAATTGTAACAATTTATATAATCCAATGATCTAACTCATAAATTTTTACGTTTGAGCCACCGAATGTTACGTAAATGAAAAAAGAGGAAACATCTGCTTAGTTTCGTCAGTTACTTTCTAATTTAGTCGAATATTCTAGACAATAAGAACTCTAAAACTGATGATGAGAGCTCAGTCAGTAAATGTAGTAAAAATCAACAAATGCAACGTTATACACCTCAGGATATAAAAACATAAGATGAAAATGGTGAACATAGCTAATTTAAATAGGTATTCCTGATAAAGGAAAAATTTAAGAAAGTAACTGCAAAATAGTTCACGATTGTCGAAGATAACTAAAATGTATTGGTACAGTAGAGTAATTAGTGAAGTACAGGTTAAAAATATTTTCGGTTAAGGAAGTCAAATCGGAATACAAAGAGTGATAACATGACTCGCGTTATTGATGATCTCACCAGTTCATGTTCTTTTCATGTAGCTCCAATCATGTTAATCCTACATTCCCCTGTCTTTTTATAATATATTGTATGGATAATTTCTCATTGTTAATTATTTCTAATCGATCTTCGGATTTTAATTTGCATGCTTACTTGTTCAGCTCTTTAAAACGTATGTAATGCTACTGCTATTGGCAAAAAACTTTAAAGAAAATATGAATTAGAGTTCGCGATATATCATGCTTGAACTAGATATGCAAAAATTGAGTTTCTCTATTTGTTTGGACATCCTTTAAGAGTGCGAGATGAACAGTATTGTCCTGTTTGAGGTTGTAATATGTGAAGCTATAAGGATGGGATAAAATCTTTCGCTACAATATATATATATATATATATATATACATTGATGCTGTGAGCTCTATTATAATATAGAAGTACACTTTTGAGGATAATTAATGGATTTCTTTATGGATATAAAGGACCCATTTAACCTTGAAGTGTCATTTAAGAAAAGATAAATTTATCATTTGTCGTTATTTTAGTGGGAGAACTGTCCATAATATTTTAACATTTTTAAAACAATAAACATAAGTTTCATAACATTTTGTCTTTTAAAATATTAACGTTTATCATTGTTGATCGTACTGTCAATATCAGTTGATTTATTGAATCCGGTTATGAATTGTCTGTTATTTTCTTAAATTGAATCTCCGGCTTTTTGCTTTCTACCACCAGTTTCTTTATGGTAAAATTATCTTCAGATTATATGAAATCTCAACACAACCATCATTAAAAAGATATATATATTTGAATACGTTCGACTAGCTATTTTATTAGTTACTTATCTCTCTGGTTTCATCTAATGACTGTTCAGTTTCCTGTATTTGCATTCAATGGATTACATTATTTTATAACACCTTATCTACTATTTCAGTATTTAAACTCAATGAAAGTACTTATATCAAAGTTGAAAATTGATAGTTCCTTTTATAAGTTAAAAATTTGAAACGACTGCAATCTAATCAATATATACCGTATCACGCAACTTTATAATTATGATATAACTATATAGTAGGTGAAAATTTCTATTTGAATATTCATCTGAGATTTAGCTGGTATATAAATTATAGATTTCTATCTCTTTAACATTTAAAAATATATTACTGATAAAGTGAAAATCTGGTTTAAATTGTGATTGAATCATAAGCATGTTATGAGGTACTATATTAATAGAAAGATATTCTGAATTATGGAAACAAATGTTAAGTTTCAGTAGTTGAAATTATGAGTCAATCATCTACTCACTAGTGATGGACTTCAAGAGGCATCTCCTGAAGTTCTAGTGAGAAGCCGTTACCAGTGGAGTTCAACCAGGTCTGTTGTGAGATATCAGCTCGCTGAAGACAATGGTATACGGTGGCGCAATTTCGTGGATTGGTTGAACTTAGAGATTAACACCGTTGGATGCCGATCGGCTCAATTGTTTAATGGTTAAGCGCTCGCACGCGAGACCGATAGGTCCCGTGTTAGAATCTTGTGGGAGGCGGGATCGTGGACGCGCACTGCTGAGGAGTCCCATACTAGGACGAAACGGCCGTTCAGTGCCTCCAGGTTTTCCACGGTGGTTTAGCTTCAATCGACTCATGATTTCAACTATTGAAATTACTGAAATCTCCACAAAACCCCTTCTGAAAATTTTTTTCTGATTATGGTAAAAATCTGAAATGCATTCGATATATGAACTGCACTGAACTATCGTAATTTCATTTAATAATCACCTAGTCGATTAAGTTAGTTCGGTTTTTTGTTTTGTAATTGGATGCAGGAATAGTGTTTTAACTTTAAACCACCAGTGAGTTTTCTCTGGATTACTTTAGAAATTGTTAATCGATGATTTTGTCTAGTTAGAGTTTTTGTAGCATAAAAACAACAGGTATTAAAACGGGATATTTTAGTAGAGCTCATTTACTGATCTAAGTTAGATGATCACTGAAACCTTGGGAGCACCGAACGATCGTTTCGTTCTAATCTTGGACTCCTTAGATGTGCATTTTCACAACTGCACAACCGAAAGTCGGACCAAGGCCCTTCATTCTTGAGCTTTAAAAGATCGGCTCATGATCTCAAGTAAATTCAGAAGTCTCCATTTAGCAGGAGGTTTACTAAAAATATTTTGCATCGTTCGGTTTACTGTGTGATTTCACTAAACTTGTAGCTTCCTTGAACTGGTTTCACTAGCATGTGTCATTGCAAGATTATAACAAATATCACTATCTCCTGGTTTCCAAAGATGTCAAAGCTTTATAACTCAGAATCGACTGTCCGTGTTATTCAAATAAAATTAGAGAATTGTGAAGATGGTCCATGGGTAAACTCGAGGAAGCTCTAAGAAGCTCAGAAAGAGCAGAGGAATATTCCATAATCACTACATGGAGCTTCTTTATTGGACAATGCTAGTAACCCCATGTTTGCGGATTGCATAACTATAATGGTGATTTCGTTTTTACCAAAAAACCATAAATTCCTGACAGTTTTGTACCATAATTGACACTGTTTGAAATAACATTCCCTTCACTTGAATTCTGTCTTCTCATTTGCGACTTGGGAGGGTTCTAGCGTTCGAGTACTCAAGCCATACGTGGCATCTCAAGAATATAAGCTCTAGATATAACAACTGGAAAAGTCTAGAAGACATATCAGTGGAGACGGGGTGAAAAAAAGAGCCTAGACAATCAGCATACAGAATTGTCATCGATGTCCTTGAACGACATTGGTTGTTAACTTGTCATACTGTATTTTCTATTACCGAGCTCATTCATACAGAAACAGAAAATAGCTCTCCCTTCCGATCAATTACAGTTGCTAATTCAGCGACAACAGCAGCGTTTTTAAAAAGAATCAGTTGGAATTTATAGACAAATTACACACAAAGCTACTGAATCATCCATGTTTTGGAGATGTAACGGGAGTTGATGAACTAATATCTAAATTGCGTACAGAGCTGGAAAATGATTGCAGAATGTATGAATGTGTCGATACAAGCCTCTAAGAATTCTTGATAAGCAGCAGTGTGAGCAAAGCAGTAGCAGTCATTCATGATCTGCCTAGTGGTCCAGAAACGTCTATTTCAGAGATATGCCCTGTAGCGGTTTCAAACCCCATTGTCCCCGAAACACAATGTATAGTTGGTGAAGCTTTACATGATAAACATCCTAGATTTGCAATTCACACAAGAAAAAAGTTCAACGGATTATTAATTTGCCTGAAAGAAAAACTATATTGTTCACAATAGAAACACTTTTAACTGAATGAAACTAATTTGTCTCGAAACAATAACCTTTCCCTTTTTACTATCACACCTTATTCTAATTCACAATGTTTTACTAAATGTCTAAGTTCTATTAACTTATTCTTCAATGATTAAAATCACAATAATCACTGAAAGTGAGTTTATCTAAGATAATCTAACATTGGGTCTTCCCGGTCTCCCACATTATCCGGACGTTCCATGTACCTATAAAAATTGTTGCTCTGGTTGTTAGAAGGGGCATCGGCCTCATGGATTCCGAAGGAACTCGGCTTTCACCATGAAGTGTCATAATTCTTCTAAATGAAGACTTTCTAATTCCCAGGGTAGAGTTTAAATGGTTTGAATTATTTTTTCTGTTTTGCTTTTTTAGCGAGTTAGTTTTCTACGGGATGAGGTCGCTAACCCCATGCCCAACCCTCCTCCTTTACTTGGGCTTAGGACCGACAGTAACTCTAGGAGAGCTACAGGCGGAGTTGATAATCTAACATAGTCCTTTTAAAATGCAACAAATGTCAATGTTGACATTAAATTTAAAATATCATTTTGCAAATTCATTAAAACATAATTGGCTTTATTAGGAAATAGCTAATCAAATATTACTTAATTTATCACAAATTACCATTTAATTTACTATAGAACAAAGGTCACATATACTTAGAAGTTACATTTATAATTATATTCTTCATTGATTCTGCTTTTCTATTTGAACTGATTTTATAAGGAAATAGGATATCATAGTAAACTATTATCTATACTGTATAAATTCCGTAGAAATATTTTCCCCTAATTGATTGTACGTTCTTCATTCATTTAACATGTTTATCCCCCACAACTGTTGAATTACATTTTAAGTTAGTATCACTTTTGTGACCACTCTCCAGATTCTACACCTATTTTTATAATATTTCAACTATTAACTTACTGGATAGTTTTATTTATATTATCAGTGTTTTAAAGTTTATTGGATTGAACTCCTATGGTCCACAATTCAAATTTCATTAAATTTATGATTTAACAAAAGGTCATTCATTTGTATCAGTTAGAATATTTATATCTATGTATATATAATACTATATATACATGAAATGAATGTGAATAAAAATTAAGGCTTAAAATGGGCATGAATCTACTCGTTCGGTATAATAACTGTTCAATGATGAATAGACCAAAGTTTACTCAATTAACTTTGAAGTCTAACTCATATAAAGCTTGCGACTTCACGTAATATCGATGCAGTCCGCACAGGATGCATATATGCTAATAAGAGACTGATCAATTGCAGTCCTAAATAATAATGGGAAGATTCAAGTAAACAACACCAGGTGAATATAATTTCACACCATTGCACAAGCAGGTGGCTATCAGGACTCAATAGATAAGTGGATAACGTGATGGCGTTTGAAGCGAACATTACTGTGTTAGAGTCTCGGAGTGAACATCAACTCTGAGATGCAGGTACATCCAACTGACGAGTCCCGAATAGGATGAAACACGCGTTTTTGTTACAAAATGGATTTATACTTTTCTCCAAGACTGAATATAACACTGAACTGATTATATTTAGTGGGGTTTTCTATATTTAATTATTATTTTGTAACAATGATTTAATAGTTTATTGCTTTAATGAAAATAGAATACATATATAACCTTTTCTTCATGATCATTATATTACTAAACTCATATCTGTTTGATCATATTCAAATGTAAATAAAGCAATAAATCTATCATTATGTAACATGATATGGTTATTTGATTATTTTACTAGTGATCAATACTTTCATTTGTCATTCTGTCTAAGTTTTTATATCAGTTCGATTAAATTAACTATTAAACTCACATAACTATATCTGGTTTCTAGGTTAAAAGCAGATAATGACATTGAAAATAATGGAAAATATGTAAATGTATTCTGTAGGGAAATATTATATACAGTTGTATAAATAATTAATGTTTATAGTCTCGGCTACTGTTAATTTTCAATCATTGATTCTACATTTCCTAAAAGTATCATGTTTTTTTTCTGCTAGAATGTTTCATTCACTTTAGTCATGTAATTGAACATTAAGCTTTTTCAAATTAACCTCATTCAATGATTTGTATTATTTAGTTAACTAACTAAATGTCTGTATATCTTAGATATCACCGTACAGTATAGTCATAGGAAAAAAAAGGGAACAGAAAGTTCTAAAGAAGATATCGATCAACTGGTATTCTTTATACTATATTACAAATTGACTAGAAGTAAGTATTAATCTTAAAAACCAATTACATTAAAAGATTCAATGTGTAAATTCGTGTCTATGCGATGAGTTATTAGTGTAGTTTGCTTAAACTTCAGTGAATACATTAAAATAACCAAGTATAAATTGTCACATTTTCAATTGTTCTTTGTAGAAATATATAAATTCAACAGAATTCAACTTTGTAATTATTCACACATTATTACTCTTTTAAGTTTTTCTTACTTATTTTAGTCTTCTTTTTTTTTGTTGTTTTATTATTTTTTTCAAACCTCTTTTCTCATTTAGGTACCAAAATTGATTCAACTAATCCAAAGGAAAAAATGATTATCATTTGTTTATATGTCGCTATTGGTTTATCAGTGTTTGCAATGTGTTTCAAATTAATGCAAGAAGAAGTTGTTGATAAAATGAAATGGTTCGCATTAAGAATTGGCATATTGAAACGTAAAGAAACAACAGACACTACTGATAGATCATTATATCCTATGAGTAGAATTTGATTTTTTTGTTGTGCATTTCTATACATAAATATCCTTATTTATACATATTAAATTACCAATTCTGATGGAATATATTACTGAAATGTTTTTAACCAAAATCATATATATATATATATATATATATATATATATATATATATATATATATATAAAAGAAACAATTTTCAAACTATTGTATATAGAAAGAAATATGTAGTGGTTACAAGTGCATTTAAAGAATGAGTAAATATACGTACATATATATCTGGTAATTCTACTTTTCTCAACTATAAATATACATTTATAATTGTTTAATTGTTCATTAAGTGATAATTCATTGAAGGGATTCTCATATTGGTTGTTGAAAGTTAATTTACACAAAAGATGTACAATGAATGGTGATAATAAATTAGTTAAGTAGATATCAAATGTAACGTTGCTTCTCTGTCTTGTTCCTGAAATCTTATACCTGGACCGATAGGGTTCTTGAAGTAGTAAATACTAGACAAGTATCAACACTAAGTGATCAGTTATTACAAACATCTCATTCCTCCATGAGTTCAGGTGTAACCTAAATATCTCAGCAGTGATATCTACAACTATGACCTGTGAGAGGTATATTCAATTCCCATGAAGGTATAGGTTCCTTTGAGATTGTTAGTGAGTTTTTAGTGGTCCGATATATGACTCCAGTTCGATCGTATGAATGCTTGTTATTGAAATGTACATACCGCCAACCCTCGTATATGATTATTGACTTAAATTGCGTTAGTGAATAATGGAATTAAATAAGTCAAATACTAAAATGGAGTTTGAATACTAATTTTTCGTACACTCATTAACCTGAACAGACAATCAGGGGGATGAAGCAAAAGCGGTGAAGGAAGTGAAGAGGAGAGAGTGAAACGAATCGGAGAAAACATTTGAACCATCTCGATTTAACCAAGTGTAAAATGATATTCATAATCAAACAAAAATAAGCTACAGACATGTGATGAGTAGGATAAGCAATGTACACACATACGCTCACACAAAAATAGTCAAGGTTGATAAGCGAACAGTTAACAAGATCAAAATGTGACTCAAGAAGTATGAATAAATTGGTCTATCTAAAAGCAATAAGAACCGATGCCAGCTTGACACGGTACTAGACACCACGGGTTATGTTGACGGTTGTTTAGATCCAGGGCATCTTGCTGATTACTCCCAACCACTAAACACTCAAACTTAGATCACGTGATTCTGAGTAACAGGAACTGGTAGACACATTACGACATGGTCGACTTGTAACCCTAGAAATAAAAAATGATGAAGTTAATAAGTACTGTGTGTATTTTCATCGTAATGTCAAGTTAAAGATAATTGCTAAAAGCAACAACTATATAATGGATAATAAACTTAGAGAAAGAATTCAAAGAAAGATCAACATTTCAAATAAAACAAACTCCTTGTCCGAACCACAAAAGATGTAAAAGTTACTGTTATCCATTTTACACGAGCTTTAGGAACAGCATTTACTGAAAGAAAACGAAGAAAAATTTTTATTATCGTTTTGGTTACATTTGTGCAGTCGAACTTAAAATAACTACTACATATTCAAAAGACAGTCGCCCATAAATTACATTTAATGACAAAACCTTGCTAATATCTTTGAAGGTATTCAACGTAATTAGTAAAAACAAACAAAATTATTCACTTATCCCGAAACTCGATTGAGTAATCGTTGTAGATGGTAATTTTATACCTTACTACAATGTGAAATTTCGACAAATCTATGTAATCTACATTTGTGATTGATTTTTTTTATCTAGAACACTCACATACTCATTCATTTGGTGGCTAATCTAATGAGCATAAATGACGATGACTTACTATGAACTTCTAGTTATGTAATCTATTTCGTTTGATCCTCTTTGTATATACATATTGAAACAATGTCCTCAAGAAGTATTTTTTTTTGTACTCTACTCGTTTACCTTGTTTTTAATATGATAATATTTTTGTCCTAATTAAACCATTTGTATAAGTATGTCATCCATAGAATGAATTACATCAAGTGAATTTCCTCTGAATTGTTCAACGTCACGGGACTGTGACCACGAAAACATGATTGCCAATTTAGATACTCGAACTTATACGACCAACTAATGACACAAACACCAGTAAGGGCAGCCAAGAGTCCTGATTGGTTCTTTTCCCGCCCAATCCTACCTGTTGAGTTCAGAACGCCAATTTCAGCTTCCGCGATGTGAATAATGTATTTCAAACTTACTAGGTTTATATTACCAACAAATCAGACCGCATAACACCATAATATAGAAAATAACATTTGTACAAAATCTAACCAAAAGTGGCTGTGATTGTGAGAAACTGTTACTAGTAAATTGGGAATATCTCAAGAATAGTAAATCGTATAATAATAGTCAATAGGTGAAATAAAAGCTCATAATGAAAGGAATATGAATAAACATATGTATAGCCACTTAAGAGTTATACAATAAGAATATACATATAATATTAGTCCATAAATAATTACTAGCCGTTACCATTGATTTATTCTCGTTTGGATATCACAAAAATAAATACATAAAATTTAGGAATTAGGGCATAAGTATTTAACAATAAGATTTTCGGAAGAAACCATGCAACTAACGAAGGTCATATTTTTTCATCTTGAGTTTCTTTCATGATCGTCATTGATGAAAGCTTTCTTGTAGCTGTTCAACCAGATTATATGCTGAACTTTAGATAATATCTTGATTGAATTAAAAGTTTATGTTACTGAGAAGTCTGCAACAATAGAGCTACCATGGTAATTTTTTTAAGGATTTCATAATTTACACAAATATTATGAGCAAAGATGAATGGCGGTTAGCAGTGGAATCCAGGACGCGCGTTTCGTCCTACTCGGGACTTGTCAGTTGGACATACCGGCATCTCAGAGTTGATGTTCACTCCGAGACTTGAACACAGTAATGTTCGCTTCAAACGCCATCACGTTATCCACTTATCTATTGAGTCCTGATAGCCACCTGCTTGTGCAATGGTGTGAAATTATATTCACCTGGTGTTGTTTACTTGAATCTTCCCATTATTATTTAGGACTGCAATTGATCTGTCTCTTATTGACATGCATGTACATCCAGTTGACAAGTCCCAAATAAGGCTAAACGTGAGTCCTAGATTCCACTGCTAGCAACTAACCATCTTTGCTTATAATGCTTGTGAATTAAGGCAATATGCACACATACCAATAAGAGACTGATCAATTGCAGTCCTAAACAACAATTGGGAAGATACAAGTAAACAATACAAATATTGTTTGAACGTATATTTTGCAACTGAACTCATCATAAGAATAATAATGAAGAGTCGTTTAGTGAATCAAATTGATTTCTTTTTTCTAACTAGATTGACTTTCAATGTTAATATCATTCATCAAATTTTTTTTAACCTAATACATTTAAGTAATATGGTGTATGTGTAGCAATTAATCTTGTAAACTGAGAATTATATTCTTCCTTGTTTCCTATCATTTTTAATTAGTTTAAAATTTTATCAAATAGTAATGGATCATTGATACTGTGTGTTCTTAATTAATATTCATTTAATCACATGTTCATTATAATCATATGATACATCACTTGGATATACACAAAAGATTTTTTTAAAAATAGGGTAGTTACTATTTCTTAATTGTAATAAAACTACTTTAGAGAAGGAACGAATTGAGCGAAGAAATTTCTTTTCAATTAGCTTTTCATCATGGCTCTACACTAATATGAATATGTTTATTCTCTGAAGAAGTGACTTACACTAAGCCACGAAACGTCAGAAAATCCAATTTTCTACTCATTGGGATATTACAAATATATTATTTTTATTTATAACAATCAACCCAATGCTCAATTTATTCGAAATTATCAAATCAAACCTTGGTAAACTAATATGAATATGTTTTACAATAATAATATAATACTCATCGAGTGGATACGTTACGTAATAATTAGACAACCAAATCTCAAAGACCTTAAACAAGCTAGTCAAAGCAGGAGAAATAACAAAACAAGAACAATGGAGAATGAAATCCAACGGACCATTACTCCCTCGATTCTACGGCAGACCCAAAATACACAAACCAAACATCCCACTACGTCCAATTGTAGCACTCCCCGGAACACCAACGTACAATCTGTCAAAAGAAATTTCAAGAATACTGAGACATTTAGTAGATTCAGCCAACCACTCAATCAAATCCCCTACACAATTCCTGGACCAAATTAAGGACATCCAAATCAACAACGACGAACTGATGATATCCTTCGACGTGACAGCACTATTCACCTCAATTGAACCAAAATTAGCAAAAGAAACTATATCCCTGCTGCTCAACAACGACACAAACCTCACCAAATACACGAAGCTTCAAATTCAAAGTCTACAGGAACTCATCAATTTATGCCTAACAACATACTTTCAATTCAACAACAAAATCTACGAACAAACGAAAGGGACACCAATGGGATCACCAATATCAGGATTGGTCGCAGAGGCAGTGATGCAAAGACTAGAAGCCGCGATATTACCAGTGATCAAACCAAAAATTTGGATTCGCTATGTAGACGACACCTTCGTCATCGTCAAAAAGAATGAACTAGAAAACACTTACAACCTGATCAACAACGTCTTCGATGACATCAAGTTCACCATGGAACAGGAGTCAAACAACCAACTAGCATTCTTGGATGTATTGATCACTAGAACCGACACAGGAAAACTGGAAACTCAGGTATATAGGAAACCGACCCATACGGATCAAATTCTCAACTACAATAGCAACAACCCCAGAGCTCACAAAATCAACCGCGTACACAATTTGTTCAAGAGGGCGAGGACACACTGCAGCACACTGGCAGCACGAAGAAATGAAGAGAAATATCTAAAGGATGTATTTCAGAAGAACGGCTACCCCATCAACTTCATCAAAAAATACCAACCGCACGCAGCATTAGAACTCAAGTCAAGCACAAAAATCAACAAAAGGATCACCCTACCATATATACATGGAATATCAGAAACCGCAACGAGACTGCTAAAAACCTTCGGGATAGGTGTGGTACATAAACCGACAAAATCACTACAATCAATCTTATGCGAACCAAAAGATGAAATAACAAAGGAAAACAAATCAAACATCATCTACAAAATAAATTGTGCCAACTGCGAAAAACACTTCATCGGACAAACCGGACGCCCCCTTCACCTTCGCCTACATGAACATCAATTAGCAGTCAAACGGCATGATATCTCTTCACTTATATCAATAGACGTGAACAACTGCGGACACTCATTCGATTGGAAAAATGTGGAAATCTTAGACAGAGGAAACTTTAAAACCACCAGAGAATTTTTAGAAGCCTGGCGCTCAGGTCAATCGGCAATCAACAAGCATATTGATATCAATCCAATTTATCAACCAATCAGAAAAATCATGCACAAGCATAAGAACAAAAATCAAAACAATGGGAGACGCAACCGAAACAACGACAAATTTGAGGTCAATAAGAACCAATCAACGTCGAGGTGCTCAGAACAAGCTTTGAGACACATATGGAGAAATTCAAACACTTCACTTCTATCTGAAGTTTGTGCTGATGATTTCATTCAGAAGAACGATGAGAGCTCCACGACCAAACCATCCAGCTCAGAGAACAAAACTCCACCAGAATTTTCACTATATTAAAACTAATTTACGTCCATTTACTCTATAACTAGTTAAACTTAGTGACAATTCAATGAAGGCAAAATAGTATTCATTGAAATTGACTATATCTGTTAAATAAAACTTTCATTATATATTTTTATATTCTTTCTTTATAATCAAATTATGGAAATATAGTATTGCATCAGTATTATCATTATTTACTAATTAATGAAAGAAAATTTTCTTTACATACTTTAGCTGTCTTCATTTGCAAAAGAAATTAAAAAAAACTAAATAAGAGTTAAAGTTAAGATTGATGTAGGAACATGAAATTGTTTTTGATTGAGATCATGAACCAATTGATGTTCGATCACCATTGAAAACCTGCAAGCACTGGATGGCCGTTTTGTCCTAATGTGGGACTCCTCAGCGGTGTACATTCACGTTTCTGTTAGTGTAATGAAATTATATTTGCTTGCTTGAAATAGTTGCCAGTATAAACAATTAGTGTAGAAAGGAAAATGGGATAAGTTCATCAGTTTACTACGAAAAACACTTTCAGATATTCTTTCTGTACAGTCACTATAA